TGGGGTCCAAAGTCTATCTGAAACCTGAGTTTTTAATATTTGTTTTCTGATTACAAAGTAATGCATGCACGCTCAAGCAGAAAACCTAGGAAGGCAGAAAAGTCCTATTCACCCCTTTAATCTCAATGATCCAGGACCTGGCACTGAGTAGGTGCTTAATAAATATCTGTTGAATGAATTATTCTCAATCTCATCACCAGAGATAAAAACCACTGTTTTATCCTTCTAGTCATATATATTATACATAAATGAAATCATCTTGTGCAAACAGCTGTATAGTCTGCTTTTTTTCTCTCAGCAATACACTATGTACCTTTCCCCATATTGATAGCTTTTTAACATCATTGTAATGCTTTCATATTATTCCTTCAAAAGGCTGTACCACATTTTTCCTAGCCAATTTACTACCTTTGGACATTTTGGTTATCTGTTGTTACAATGTTGTGCTTCACATCTTGGCACATATAATTTTGTCCACATATCTACTTCTTTAGAATGCATTGCTAGGCAATAAGAGAGGCACACTTTAAAGTTTCGCATATATACTGACAACGGCACTGCCAATTGACCCTCCAGAGCTAAAAAAGGGAAAATCTGGTACACGCTCTCTTTGACTAGGTATCACAGGCTAATCAACTGCAGGCTTTTGCCTTTAGCCATAATTAAGCAATTCAGAACCATTGTGTTAGTTATCGACACCTGCTGACTGGAAGCTAACTGGCCGTAAGTTTTGGAATAAGAAACAAAGTTAGTAACTTAAAACCTATAAACTTTCTTAAAAAATATATTTATTGATTTTAGAAAGTAAGGGGGAGAGATGGAAACATCAATGAAGAGAGAGAATCACTAATTGGCTGCCTCTTGCACACCCCACACTGGGGTTGAGCCTGCAACCCGTGCCCAAACTGTGACCTCCTGGTTCATAGGTCGACACTCAACCACTGAGCCACGCCGGCCGGGCAAAACCTATAAACTTGTCCAGAGGCCAAAATATTTCAAACTTTTTGACTTGTGAGAGTTCCTAATTGTAAAGAAGCATTGGAAACGACTGAACCCCAGCGTCTGGCATGGGCCCCTTACCGAAGATGTACTGCAACTATTTACTGCAACTATTGCGCCTTTAGGACACAGGCCCTGCCAGTGTCTGCACCCCCAAGTCAGCGGGCTCAAAGTCTAGGCTGCTGCCCCAATTAGATCCACTCAGGAGAGTCACTCACCTGCCCCACTCGGCTGTACTCCGACGGACCTCACGTACCTACAGCGCCGCCCTGGCGGTGGGGCGAGGCCCCAGCGGAGATGAGACGCTGCTTGGCTGGCCGCCGCGCATGCTCCGTCCTGCGCGTAGCCTCCCGGCGCCAGGGGGCGCGCTCCTCCACGCTGCCCCGCCCCCGAACGGTTGGCATTTGAATCTCCGCGGGCTGTGGCCGGAAATGTCCACGGGTCAGCAAGGCATGGAGAGCCCGGGCCCCCGGGCCCGCTGTCCCGTGCAAGAGCAGCGTGCCCGTTGGGAGCGGAAACGCGCCTGCACCGCCCGGGAGCTGCTGGAGACCGAGCGGCGCTACCAGGAGCAGCTGGGGCTGGTGGCCACGGTGGGGGCCCCGCGTGTCCTCTCGAACGGGGCGGGGAGCCCAGGGTGTGGGAGGGCCTCTGCGAGGTCGGCGATCCCGAGGACGGGGTCTTGCTCTGTCCTCCTGCACTGGGGGCCGGGCAGACTTCTGCACATTCCAGCCGCGCCTTGGCGGCGTTCTCTCTCCGCAGTACTTCCTGGGGATTCTGAGAGCCAAGGGCACCCTGCGACCACCGGAGCGCCAGGCCCTGTTTGGGCCCTGGGAGCTCATTTACGGCGCCAGCCAGTGAGTGGAAGGGGCGTGGGGAGAGGGAAGGGGGGGGGCGCCTCGGCTTCTGGCACTGCACCGAGAGACCCAGGTTCACATTCCGAGCCCGCCAGTGACCTCACCTGTGGTCTTGGCCCAGTGCCCCAGTTCTCCATCTGTAAAGTGGGTAACAGCACTACCCATGGGTCAGGGGTAAAGGAATGAAATGCGGTGCTTGGGCAGTTCTTTGGCAGCTCTGTTATTGTCCCCACCACGCAGAGAGCTGCTTCCCTACCTGGAAGGAGGGCACTGGGGGCAGGGGCTGGAGGGCTTCTGCCCCCACCTGGAGCTCTACACCCAATTTGCTGCCAACGCAGAGAGGTCCCAGACCACCTTGCAGGTAACTTGAAGGTGACCTCAATCCTTCCTCTCTTGCCCCATACATTTCCTCTTCATCTCTCCATCTGTCCCTGCATTCATGGAGCCCTTTGGGAGTCCAGTTCTGTGCTATGTTCCCTGTAGGGAGATGGGTTCTCTCTGGAGCACACAGCTTGCTGAGGGCTGGGGATGTCTACGCAGGTGAATACAATGTAAGGAGTGGCTTCTCTCTCTGCCAACCCTCTCCCTCACTCCAGGAACAACTAAAGAAAAGCAAGCGTTTCCGGAGGTTCGTGAGGCTTCAGGAAGGCCGCCCCGAGTTTGGGGGCCTTCAGCTCCAGGACCTGCTCCCTTTGCCTCTGCAGAGGCTTCAGCAGTGAGTGAACTCTCCCTGACTCAGCCAGCTTCTCTTTCCTGAGTCCCTCACCTTTGTGGGACTCATGGGGTCTGTCCCAATGCCTCTCTCCTGGGACAAATTGCTCCTGGAATCCTTTTTGCAAGAGAAGATGAGAACCCACTGGAGTACCTGGAGTCTGCAGCCTCGGGCCCTTAGCTGGGACTGTGGAACTCTACGTTGAAGCTCGAGGGCTTGTAATGGGCTAGTGACACCGTATTTGGAAGAGTTTGCTGAGATGAGAGCCTGGTCCAGTTTAGAATTTCTGAGGAGTCTGCCCCTGACTCTTCCATGTGGGATGGGAAAGGGTGATGTGTGAGCCCAGGTTTTGAAAGAGGGGATACCAAGCCAGAGCAGACCTTTCCTGGCGTTGCAGTGGAAGTACGTGTAAGGGGTTATGAGTGTGTCAGGCAGAGGGAATTTTTCCCAGCTCTACGTCCCCTCAGACTTCCAACTGTCTAATTCTAGGTATGAAAATCTCGTTGTTGCTTTGGCTGAAAACACAAGTCCCAACAGCCCTGACCACCAACAGCTCACACGTATGTTCTTGCTCTGCCAAAACTCAGAGACAGAAGGCTGCCTTTCTTGTATCCCTTTTGGGTGGTGACCTCCAACAATGTCTGGTATGACCCTGTCTTCCTTTGACATGTACGTGATGTTCCGTTGTCCTGCCTGCTCTTCAACAAGTTAGACCCTAACCCTGGGTCCCTAGGGAGTAGCCTTTCTCCACTGCCAGTCCCCAGAGTCACAGATGTGCTGGGAATGGGGTTGGGCTGTTATTCCAGGGGCTGCGCGGCTGATAAGTGAGACTGCCCAGCGAGTTCACACCATTGGTCAGAAACAGAAGAATGACCAGCACCTCCGGCGTGTGCAGGCCCTTCTCAGCGGCCGCCAGGCAAAGGGGCTCACCTCAGGTAGTCTGGATCCTTCCCCCTTAGCCCTCAATCTGCCCTTTTCTTACTCACATACCCAGTCTCCTCAGCCTCCCTTTTCTTTTATGCCCTCGGAGCATGGTCCTGAAGTTGCATCAGAATAACAGCTCTCCCCTCCCCCAGGTCGCTGGTTCCTACGCCAGGGCTGGCTGTTGGTGGTGCCTCCCCGTGGGGAACCTCGGCCCCGAATGTTCTTCCTGTTCTCTGACGTGCTTGTCCTGGCCAAGCCTCGACCCCCATTGCACCTGCTGCAGAGTGGCACCTTTCTCTGCCGGGCCGTCTACCCCATGGCCCAGTGTCAACTCCAAAGGGTCTTTGGCCACTCGGGGGGCCCTTGTGGTGGACTGCTCAGCGTAAGTAATAAGATGGGGGTCCTAGGTCAGGTAGGAGAGGCCGAACATACGCCTCAAATACCTATGCCCCCGTTTATCTCCTTGGCCTGGACCCTTTTCTTAGGAATTGGGCCAGCTACATTGAGAGAGCATAACTGGGTCTTTGGGTTCATATCTAGTTCTCACATGAGTCCTGAACGACCCCCACGGGAGCAGCAAGGCCTTGAGCTTTAGCCTGGACCTTTCTGAGCCATGCACTAAGAGGTGGTCTCTCCCCAGCTGTCCTTTCCTCACGAGAAGCTGCTGCTCATGTCCACGGACCGGGAGGAGCTGCTGCGCTGGTACCACAGTCTGACCGTGGCCATCAGGTAGGCTGTCTCTTTCCTTGTAAGTGTTGTGATGAGGCCCAGGAGCAGGAGATGAGCAGTTCTGGTCCTGTCTCATGTCCTACATCTGTGGGACACCACCCCACCACCCCTATCCCCTAGTTGATGAGAGTATGAATAGCGTGCTCATGCCAATACCTGAACTGTCTTCTCTCCACAGCAGCCAGAAGAACTAGAAGAATCTTATGAATTCCAGGACCCAAGATACTTCAGGGATAGGTCAGGGTCAGGAGCACAAAACTAAACAAAACACAGAACCCTTCCTGGTTTGAGAAGGGTCATTTTGTGTTTGCCTGGGACTGGGTTATTTGACCAGCTCTTAAGAATCAGGAAACCAAGACTGACCCATTTGAACCTCCACTGAACCAGCCCCTCCAGCACAGAAGAGGGGATTTGGGGCTGACCAGCTTGGTGCTATGTCTATGGCCAGTCGTGTATCAAGGCTATGGCTTTGCAAATGTGGCTATTTTTATAGTTTTATTTTCCCACTGGATTTAAGTAAAGTTTTTCTTGTTTTTTTGGAAAGGCCTGTTTCAGCTGTGTGCTATGAGAAGAGGGAAGTTTGTGCCTGGAGGCTGGCATGACGGGGCCTCGGGAGTACCAGGAAAAGAACTGGAGCTCCCTCTATCTCCTCGGCTCTCACACTGGGAGGCAGCATCTTTTTGTCCTAATAAGGGAAGCTTTGCAAGAAGGGCCAGTTGTTCTTAGGCACCTAGTATGGGTGTGTGTGTGACCAGCTGGAATGGAAAAAGCACCCAGGAGCATCCAATCACAAGAACAGACTTGGTTTTACTAAGCCTTCAGCTGTCGTCCCTCCTTCCCAGAGGGGGCTGGGACTGGGGCCCTTTGCCGCAGGCTTGCTGCATCTTCTCCTTAGCCCCTGCTCCACTCCCCACGGAGTAGCTAGGTTCCTTGTCTCTGTGCTCCAGTGTAGGGGCTCTTCCCAAGCCTGACTGTCACCAGCCTCCTCGTCCTCCTCCTTCATGCATGAGTCCTCAGGAAAGGGCATGCTCGCCTCTGTGAGGGGAAGATCAGGTATGTCCCAGTTTCTGACACTTTGTCTCTACCGCCACCAGACTTTCAACCCCAGCCTGTTACCTGGTTCTGGAACCTCCACATCCTTGCTGGGCTTGTTCTTTTGTAGCAGCTGGTGGATGGTGTGTAACTTCATGTTCAGAAGCTCCTGCTGTGCTCCAGCCAGGGTAGTCACCCTGTGGATAGGTCCCCTCAGAGGCTGCCCAGTCTATGTCCCCACTTCTCACCTGCCACACACTGCTCTCCTTACCGCTCAAAAAGGGGGTCCAGCTGGGCCATCAGATTGTTCAGGTGTTGTTCCGTCTGGGCCAGTTGTTGTGTCAACTGGGCCAGCTGTTGCTCTGGAGGTAAGGGAGAGAAGGAGAGTAATGGTTAGTCACCTTCTGCTGTCCCCTAACTCCCTACCAAGCAAGACGTCTGCAAAACCCACCTGACTGCAATGATTCCTTCTTGCCTGCTTCTTCTTGGAGAACAGGAGCCTCCTTTTTCTCCTGCTGCAGAAGGAAATGGAGATACTGCAACAAGGCTCCCACCCCTGTCTCCAAAGCCAGTAAGAGGAGGAGGAGGAGAATTTGAGGTAGAGAAAACTATTGGATTTTCACCTCAGAGAATCACAATCCCATCTAGTCCAGCTCCTCATCCAGGACATGAAGCAGCCAGTCAGTACGCCCTCACAAGTGGACATTCAGTCTACTCTAACACCTCCTGGAAGAGAACAGCTCCCTCCAGGTTGATAAAGCTCTGGTTGTTAGTTTATATACAAAGCCAAAAACTGTCCTTCATGTATCTTCTTTTCATTGTGCTGATAAGAGCCTTCCAAAATCATGTCTTTTCAACATGATAGCCCCTTGGGGATTTGACAACAATGGTCATTCCCCCCCACCCCTACCCCCTCTCACTTCCCTATGTCCTCTCTGGCTTAATATCACCAATCTTTTCCAGTCAGTGCTCATTTGACATGACTTTCTCTGGTTGCTTTACTGAACTTGAGCTTTTAAATCAGTGCCCCAAAGAGAATAAAGTTTTCTCCAGGAATGTTCCGATCATAAGATAACGCACAGTACTTATTTAGGAAATGGGTTGTCACATCACACAAATGAACTTCATTAGCCAAACAATGAGCTGTTGCTGTTATGTTTCTTCTGGACTATACTTGGGTCCAAGAATAGAATGTATCTGTCCTCTTTAAATTTCATCATTGAACTCAGTCCTTTATCCTAGCTTGTCAAGTCTATTTGGGATCGTGATCAGCTGTCCCTTCTAGTTTTACATCTCCAAATTGCTCTGGAGCTATTTCCCAATGCAATTGAGTGATAGGGCCAGGGCTGAATATACAGCCCTGGGAGGTACTACTTTCCATTTCAACAGTTTCAATCCACCAAAATGTACTGTCAATTCATATTTCAGGGCCTCGTTCCCAAGAACATGAGCCTGCTTGGTACCTTGAACTCAAAAAACACCGACTACCGTAACCAACCTCTTGTGCCGAGGTTGGAATCTCACCAGGAACTCCACACTCGCTGGGTTCAAATCCCAGCTCCACTACTTACTAGCTCTGACCTTGAGCAAGTCACTTAATCTCTTCATTGGCTTGTTGCGAGGACTACATGTGATGTTTATTATTTACAATTTACCATGTGCCCTTCACATCCATTGCCTCGCTGGATGCTCAAAATGACCCCGTAATGTTGGAAAGCCAAGGAACTACTGTCCATTTCATAGAACGACCGGAAGATGTCTTTTGTTCTTGGTACCCTAACGCCCCCCTGGGAAACTCAGGCCCGGGGCATCCCCACCACGGTCTTCCCGCACCTGCAAACACTTATAGAGCACGAAAGCCACGACCGCCGCGGTGTACAGCGCCCCCACAGGCCACGCCCGGGCCCGCTCCTGCTGGTCCTTGGGCGGCGGCCGCCGGGGTTCCGCGGCCTTAGGGCTGACCTGGGCGGGGTCCCCTGCGGAGGAGGGCGGAGGAAGGTCAATAGGGCTGGGACCCCAGGGCAGTCCCAGCCTCCCCCCAGCAGCCCTCGCTGGTACCTGGGTGTGCCCGGAGGTCGGGGCTGGGGTGGTCTCCGAGGACCCCCGGCAGCGCGGACACAAGCAGCAGCCCCAGAACACCCGCGGGCGAGACCGCGCTCGCCATTGCAGACTAAGGCCCAGCGGCGCCAGGCAGCGGAGCGCCCCAGTGCTCATGGGTAGGCGCGCCGGCCTCGCTGCGGCCGCCCCCAGAAAGCCACGCCCACATAGTGTGGGCGGGGCCACGCATATTTGCATAGGACCATCGGCCAAATTTTCCTAAATCAGTTAATTTCTTATCTATTTACTCTTATCTATATTAGCCAGAATACCGCCAGAAGTCTCAGAAGATTATTCCAGAAAGTGATTTTTTATTTCTTAGGGGAAAAAAAAAAAAAATCAATTTTCTCGCCCTAACCGAAAGGTATATTTTCTGATGGACCTATAAAAAGCCGCGAAGCTGGGTTTTTTCCCGCAGTTCGCGCTGAAGGCCTGTTGCCTAGGCTACGTACGGAGGACTCGGTTCCTCATTTGCGCCTAGGGGAAAGTCCCCGGATCTCTGGCAGAGAGTGCCGCGTGCGCATGCACGTAGACTTCCTCCGCTTCTCCTTGTCAATCCGCCAAGACGCGAGCCCGTTAGGCGGGGGAGCCGAGCGGTGTGCGGCGGGGTGTTGTCATCCGTCATCTCCTCTAGTTACGCAGGCGGTGCGTCCGCGCACTAACCACACGGGGCTCATTCTCAGCGCGGCTGCGTTTTATAAAAAAAGCCAGTGTAAACATCTACGAAATTCAGATTCATACAAAATCATTAACTTTGTCGATTATATCACAATAAAGCTGGAAAAATCCATTTTGATTTATTGAAATCAGTCCATTAAAAACCAAGTAGTCTATTAATTACCGCTAGACTGTAAATGCCATCTCTCTTTTTCGTTACCATTTTATTCCTATAGCCTACATGACTCTAGCAAGCACTCCTTTTTTTAAATTAAATGCATCGGGGTGCCATTGGTTAATAAATTTGAGTGTTTACCTTACGCAGGGGCCATGCTAATCTTTGTATCTTTCCAATTTTAGTATATGTGCTGCCAAAGCGAGCACTCAATGAATCCTTGTTGAAGGCAATTAATGTTTTCAAACGATCCAACAGTTAAATATAATTAAGCTCTTTTTAAAAATGAGGAAACTCAGGTTCCTGAAGGTTAAGTGTTGTTGATCAGGTAAGAGACTAGGCGATTCCAACCATTTTCTGCTTGTCCCCATATCATCTGTCTCACATCACCCCACCTCCAGGCCTTCCCACTTCTAGCGGACAGACTTAGGTAGTCTCCCACTGTTTCACACTATCTTTTATCACTGTCTGGGATATGAAGGGTCATCTTCCTGATTAGACCAAGAGCTCTTTGAAGAGGACAGAAACCATTTCCCACTCACATTTGCATCTCCAGAGCTTGGCACATAAGTGATGGGCACTGGTACATGTGTATTAAATGAATAAAATTCGGTATGTCTTCCTGTCTTTCCAGAAAGGAAGGGGGCACTGCAGGGAGAGGCCCGAACCCAGGGGAGTTTGACCGCCCAGAGGCAGCCTGGGTGTCAGAACAGTGTACTCCAAATCTTGACTCCAAGCCAGTTGGTGTAGTCAAAGTAAATAAGTGGTTCTGGGCGGGGAGGGAAGAGGGACAGGGGTATAATATGATAAATGGCCCCTAACTGATCGCTGCCTTCAGGGAATTTGGGCCCACTATTGCCAGATATTCTGATTTCTACACCTCCCCCCCCCCCCCCCCAGTTCAACAAATTGGGATTTTTAAAATTTGAAATCTCTGTTTTAAAATGTTAACAAGGACTATTTGGCATATTTGACAACTGTGTGGATCATGTTTTTTTAAAATTCTCTTCTATAGGATAAAATTATTTTCAGTAATAATCAGGAAATGAAACAAGTAACAAGGGCCATAAAATAAGCTAACAATAAGGGTCAGAAATTCAGACTGAATTATTTGTATAACTGAATGTCTGATATAATCATGACAGTATAAAACTATATATAGTGCCCAGCCAGTATGGCTCAGTGGTTGAGCATCAACCTATGAACCAGGAGGTCACAGTTTTATTTCTGGTCAGGGCACATGCCCAGGTTGTGGGCTGGATCGCCAGTAGGGGATATGCAGGAGGCAGCTTTTAATGTTCTGCTCTCACATGAATGTTTCTCTCTGCCTTCCACCCTCTCTAAAAATCAATTTAAATTTTTTTTTTTTAAGTTTCTTGCATGTTAAGCAACAAACATACAAACAGTTAGGGAAAGTAATCATAAGGATGTTTGGCAAAGATTTAAAAAATTCCATTTCACAATAAACCCCAGAATTTTTCAATATAAATAAAAACTCTGGAATGACATAAAGTAATTCAAGTTCAATTTCTTTGACTTTACAATCATTGGGCTACTTATTGTTCATTATAAATCCATGGGCTAAATACAGGAATATGTACTATCATAGGAGCTGGAGACAGAGATTGTGCCCAAAGAGAACCTTAACAACTCCAAACTGTTAAGAACTAATTCTAGATATAAATACACCTAGATGAATCTGCTATGTCAGGGGCCAATTGTATAACTGGGAGTTCTCTAGATGAACTTCCATGTATATGACAGTGTTTTCGAAAGGATAGGTAATACAAAAGTGCTCATTTGAAGCTTGTATCTTAAGAAAGCTCATCAGTAACCATAACAATGTAGAACCTGGATCTATAAAAGCTTTTTCAGAGAGGAGTACTTTATTACTGACATTTTTTAGAATTGCTGGAACATGGTGGTAATAAAACGGAGACCGATTTTTAGTTGGTTTTGTCTTAAAATTCTCTACAGATGAATACCCTCTTATTGCCTGCAGCTGGAGGATCAGACCTCTCGTGCCATTCCCATCCTTGGCAATCTTTAAAAGTTCAAAACAAAACAAAACAAAAACATTGTATGGGACACACAAAACACATTTCTGGCTCCTGCTCTAAAGTTTAAATTCGGAACTTAAACTCCCTCTTCCCACATCAGTAGCCTCCCACTGATTGGGCTGTCTCTGGGCAGGGCAGGTACTCTAGTCCCTGCAGTGAACAGGTGCAAAGACAGGACTCAATATCCCAGGATAGAGGGAGGAAACTAGCTTTTTCTGCGCCCTGTTATACCAGAACTAGAGGCCCGCTGCACGAAATTCATGCATGGGTGTGGTCCCTAGGCCTGGCTGGCGATCAAAGCACAAGCATCTGGCGTGGAAGGGCAGGTCCCAGCTGACCTCTGGGCCCTGGGCAGCACCTGGGCCCTCGGGCCTCTGTGTGCCCCCCTCTGCTGAGTCACAGAGCCCGAGTCCCCACGCAGAGATGCGGTGAACACAGCTGGACGTCATGGGCCAGGGCGCAGCGTGGGCCTCTGGGCCGCCTGGCAGTGCTGCACAGAAGCCGGGCAGGCAGCACACTCTCTCCCAGCCGGCCTTGCAGACCGGCTCCTGTGCAAACCCATGGGGAGCCTGCCTGGCTCCTGCGGTCCCAGGGGCTGTGGCACGGCTCACCCAGAAGAGGCTGTGTGGGTGTGAGGCAGGCTCCTCACAGGCACCTGGCATCTGAGTAGGCGTGCGAGCCCTGGTGTCCCAGGGGAGGGTAGCAGGGGGAGTGAGAGCAAGCTCAGCAGACACCCTGCATTCTCACTGCACCTCCTCCATCCCTGTCACCCCCACCCCCGGGTAGCCGGCGAGAGGTCACAGAGGGTCACTGATGCCTGCCATGTTCTGCACCACCTCCTGGTGGTCAGTGCACGTCATAGCGAGCGGTCGAACTCCCGGTTGAATGACCACCCGAGGGGGCAATTTGCATATTAGGCTTTTATAAAAGGCTAATACGCAAATTGTCCCCTTGGGAGTTCGACCAACCCGGAGTTCAACAGCTCGCTATGATGTGTGCTGACCACCAGGGGGCGGCGCGGAACGAAGGCAGCCGGCAACTGGGGAAGGAAGGCCCTGATCGGCCCTGATCGTCTAGGGACCCTACCCGTGCACAAATTTCGTGCACTGGGCCTCTAGTATAGGATAATAACAATGACAATGGTCATCCTAACACGTTCACCTTGGATCAGCCTTAGGGTGTGGTGAGATGGTACATACCAGGAGGCCTCCCAATCCTATTCCACGTTATAGCATGTTCATCCAGAAGCACATTCTCCTCAGGAGACTCAGAACTGGAGAGAAAAGTCAGGTACCTGGTGGCAAAGGGAATCTCTGTCATAAAGCCTGGCTTCCTTGTCTTGTGGGTCCTGCCTCATGCCACTTCTGCCCTCCGTGGAGTCTTCATGGGCTCAGCTACACAGTGGCACAGGCCTTCTTCTCTCTTCTCTGGCCAAAGGGGGTAGAGGGCCAAGGGCGAGGGGGGCGTGAGGTGGGGAGCTGCGGAAGTTCAGGAGTTGCTGGGTGGTGCAGGTGCAGGCACTGGGCGGTGTCAGTTCTTTCACTCATCCCTCCCCTCCCCCTTCCTCCCCGGAAACCAGCGACTTTGCCACCACCAGTATTGGGGATGATGAGCTGTGGGGGCCAGGCCGGGGAGGGGTGGGAGTAAGGGGGGCTGCCGCAGCTGTCAGACCATAAGCCAGGCTTACGCCGAGGCTCAGGCCTGCAGACTTGGCTCCCACATCAATAGTCATGAGCAGCGGCGCCAACTGCACGGATCAGCTAGGGCCCGGTAAGCGGGGCGGGGCAGGGACAGGGGGAGGGGTCACGCGGCCCCATGTCCCATCTGCTGGGATCTGGAGGGTTGGGCTGGGCAGTAATACCCACCCCTCTATTCTCTCACATCCACAGGAATTCCCTCCTTCCCCCAGGCCTGGGGGTTGTGGGCCCTCTTAGGGGCTGTGACGCTGCTGCTTCTCATCTCGCTGGCTGCACACTTGCCCCGATGCAGTAATGGCTGGAGAAGGAGCCGTTCAGGAGGGGGACAGTGAGTGGGGGGAAAACAGAAATGGGATCATTGATCATTTCTCCTTACCAAGAGGTCCCCATTTACCCCCTAAACTTTGTGTTGCAGGTCTGGAGGGTCTGTGGAAGAGGTCCCCCTGTATGGGAACCTGCATTATCTGAAGACAGGTAGGAAACTGGCAGAGGGGAGAGGCACGGAGAACAGGTCCTGGGTGGGTGGGATGAAGGGCTGCAGGAGGAGGAACAAGAAGTGACCAGATTTCTGTTACCTGTCCCAGGACGACTGTCTCAAGAACCAGGGCCAGACCAGCAGGATCCAACACTTGGAGGCCCCACCAGGGTGAGTCAGTTGTTGCTGAGGAAGAGGGGAGGGAAGGAAGTGGGGGGGGGATGCTTTTTTAAGGGTCCAGTGCACTTCTAACAGCCTTGCATCTCCAGGCTGCAGAGGAGGTGATGTGCTATACCAGCCTGCAGCTGCGGCCCCCTCAGGGCCGGATCCCGAGCCCTGGAACCCCCATCAAATACTCAGAGGTGGTGCTGGACTCTGAGCCGAAGCCCCAGGCCTCGGGCCGGGAGCCGGAGCTCTACGCCTCCGTGTGTGCCCAGACCCGCAGAGCCCGGGCTTCCTTCCCGGACCAGGCCTACGCCAACAGCCAGACTGCACCCAGCTGAGACGGAGGGCCTGGCATCGCCCCGCTTCCTCTGTTGCAGGGGTGACGGCTACCCTGTTCGGGGCATGACTATTTCCCAGCAAACCCCCAAAGACAGTCAGTCATCGCCCGGTCACAGGAGGTGATGTTCCCCAAGACTCCTATCTGACCTGAGGAGATAAGTCAGGGGGAAAGCAGGCCCCCGTTTCTTGAGGATGGAGAAAGCAGAGGCAGTGGCCCCCTCCTCGCTTCCTCCTCCTTCCGGAGTCTTACCAGGTCCTCCCGCTATTGCTCTCATACACTGTACCGCTGACACCTCAGTGTCTCCTCAGACACAGGAAGTGGGCAGTGGGGGAGGGGGTAAGAGCCTAAGAGGACCTGGGTGGGTATACCCCTGGGGAGGCCACGGGCTGGGGGGGGCGGGTAGGAGGGGAGGGGGATCCTGGAACCGAGCAACCTGAAGAACCCAAGCCTGGCTCTGCTCTGAGAACCTGGCAGGAGAATACCAGTCTCCATCCTGCTGCCTCTGTTGTGCCCCCAAGTTTTTAAATAAAATTTCTCAAAAAGTGTTTAGATTTCATTACGGGGGCCACAGACCTGCAATAGACCCCACATGGTGGGAGTGTGAGCTTTGCTGTCTGCACAGAGCACTCCCAGGGAGCCTGGCTGCGGAGGAGGGTGCAAGAGGGGCAGCCTCATCAACACGGCAGGGGTGGGTGCCGGCAGGCGTGGGTGCCAGGGAGGCAGAGGTGGGTGCCCGGGGTGGAGGCCGGAGCTGCTAGCATTTACACTGAGGACCGCCCCAACCCCCATCACCCGGAGTCTGCAAGCTCAGCAGCCCCTGCCCTACTCTCCCCAATGGGCTCTGTAACTGAGCTGCACCCCCACCCTGGCCTAGACCATCTCCTCCCAGGGCCTCTGTGGAGGCAGGTCGGACAGACGTGAGGTTTGAGGGGCAGAAGAAAGGGGAAGCTGAGGCTTTTACTTCCAAACCTCTCTCCTTCCTAGAGTCCCGGGGAAGGCAGAGTAGGGACGCGTGCGCCAGGGACCGGCCAGGTGGTGCCAATGAGAAGGGGGCCTGCTCTGCGCACACACAGACACACAGTAGCCCAGTGCCCGGGGTTCCCGGACCTGAGCACCCCCCTCGCGCCTCCCCAGAAGCAGCCCGGGCCGCGGTGAGCGCAGCTGGGCTGTGTGGGCGGGAAGGTGGCGTCGGGGCGGGTACCGGATGCGGGAACAGCCCGCAGCGGGATGTGGGGTCAGGAGGCTGCGGTGCTGGAGACGCTCCACGTGTCCGCGGCCGGGGGCTGAGGGCTTCTCCACTGGGACTCGCCGGCCATCTCGGCCGAGGCCTCAAACGACCCCCAACACAGACCGGCCCAACCCCGGGCTCTGCGGCCCCCGCCGGTGCAGGTCCGCGCTCCGAGCGCCCCCGCGCGGCGGGACGCGGCCTCGCCACCAGCTCTGCGCAGGCGCGCGGCTGCCGGGTGCGCGGCTCGCTGGGAGGTGAGGTCTCCAGGCCCGGGGGTCCCCGGGTTTGTAGGCTCCGTGGCTCCCGCTCCCGCTCCCGGAGCGTCGGGCGCCTCCCGCGTGCGCAGGACGTGGCGGACTCGCTCCGAGTGGGGCTGGGTGGGCCTTGAACTCCTTCCTTCCAGTCTCCGAATCCCGGATCCCCTGCTCGCTCTCTCCCCACAGCCCTTTGGTTTTCCTTACCTTCTCATGCCCTAGCCTAGGATCGCCACTGAACGCCAGGTCTGGAGCAATTTCCAAATGTAGGAAATAAATAAGGGGGGCAGCCGGATGCACCCCAAACACCTCGGAGGGCCCCTGGCCACCTCCCTCCGGCTGGTTGAGCGCCTCACTTTACCAGACACCTGGGGGTTCGCCCCGCCTCCATAGCTCCGGGTGCCTCCAGCTGCCCTCCCTGCCTCGCTGGTGTTTGTTTCCAGCCAGGAGTGCCCTGTCCCGAGCAGAACCTCAGAGCAGGTCAGGAGAAGCCACAGGCCCTTTGGGGTTCCCGTTTCCCCCGCTTCCTGAGATCCCGGCGGGAGGATAGGCATAAGCCCAGGACCCAAAGACGAAGGGTCTTCGGCATTGTCACAGGTTCATGGCAGGAAGTTCTTAGCGAATTGTTTGTGGTGGGAGGAGCCCCGGGGCCATCCCCAGCCACCCCACCGAGGCCCCGCCGGCTCTGGCGCTGCACTGCATTCCGTCAAAATGAGTCTAAACTTCCAACTTGGTTTTGGCTACAAGGAGGGTAACAGAGCGGGGACGTGGAGAGAGACCAAGCCTTAATGACTTCATTGGAAGCCTTGGATCCAGCCATGCCCAGAGCAAGATCTGCTTCCTGCACTTCTTGGTTATGTAAGCAAGCTAATAAATTCCTTTTTTTTGCTTAGTCAGTCAGTCGAAGTTAGACTTTCTGTCTCTTGCAACTCTTGAGTTCTGACCTAGTAATGGCTTCTGTTTTTAAGTCTTTTGGTGATTATCACTTTGTCAGTAATACTTACATTACTTAGAGTGAGAGGATTTTGCGCATGTACCAACCCTATGAAGACCTCCCTCTACACACCCCCTCTGATAACTCTCAGCTATAGGTGAGGAACTTTATTTTATTATTTTTTTTAAAATATATTTTTATTGATTTTTTACAGAGAGGAAGGGAGAGAAATAGAGAGTTAGAAACATCGATGAGAGAGAAACATCGATCAGCTGCCTCCTGCACAGCTCCCACTGGGGATGTGCCCGCAACCCAAGTACATGCCCTTGACCAGAATCGAACCCGGGACCCTTCAGTCCACAGGCCGACGCTCTATCCACTGAGCCAAACCGGTTTTGGCTATTTTATTTATTTTTTCTTTTATTAATCCTCACCTGAGGATATTTTTCCATTGATTTTTAGAGAGAGTGGAAGTGCGGAGGAGAGACAGAGAGTAACATTGATGTGAGAGAAACAGCAGATTGGTTGCCTACCACAGGAGCCCTGACCAGGGCCTGCAACTGAGGCATGTGCCCTTGACCGGAATCAAAACCCGGACCCTTCAGTCTGCAGGCCGATGCTCTATCCATTGAGCAAAATCTGCTAGAGCAGCAGTTCTCAACCTGTGGGTCTCGACTCCTTTGCTGGTCGAACGACCCTTTCACAGGGGTCGCCTAAGACCATCCTGCATATCAGATATTTACATTACGATTCATGACAGTAGCAACATTACAGTTATGAAGTAGCAACGAAAATAATTTTATGGTTGGGTCACAACATGAAGAACTGTATTTAAAGGGCCAGAAGGTTGAGAACCACTGTGCTAGGGCTCCATTTATTTTTTATTTTTTTAGAGACAGTGGAAGGGAGGGGAAGAGACTGAAAGAGAGAATATTGATGTGAGACACATCAATTGGTTGCCTCCTGCAAGTGCCCCAATTGGGCCAGGATCCAGCCTGCAACTGAGGCACGTGTCCTTGACCGGGATCAAACCTGGGACCCTTCAGTCCATGGGCTGATGCTCTAACCATTGAGTAATCTGGCCAGGGCTGGGTGAAGAACTTTAAGTGGGCTCTGCTGAGCTCTTGGCAGAGAATTTGAGGACAAATTTCTGGAAAAGAGCCTCAGAGCCAAGAGCAATGCAACAAGTCCCAGAAACAGTCTGCTTTCCAGGAACAATCAATGGCTTTGCTGGCCTGCCCTGCTCTCCAAAAAAATCAGTGGAGGATGGAATTTCTCAGCCCTTGAAGCTGGGAAAGGCAAGCCAGAGGGGCAGAGAGACCTGCTGGAGGAAGCAGGTGAATCTCTGACTGAAAAATGTGTAAAGCGCAAACAAAAAAGATTTCCCTGAACTAGAAAATGAGAACCCCAAATTTCCATAGATAAATCAAAGGGGAGGATGTGCTGTTAAAACCCGAAAATGGGTCTAGAAAATTAAAGATGAAGCATCTCAAAATGTAACAGGTCTAGAAAATTAAAATGAAGTATCTCAAAAATATGGAGATGCAAATCATGTGGTTAAAGATGGGAGATTGGAACAGACCCAAGAGACTTAACTCAAGTTCTCTGAGTTCCTGCAGAGTAAGGAACAGGAGGGGAGAGGTCATCATTAAATAGTAGATTCAATTTCCCTGAGCGAAACAAAGACTTAAGTTCTAGACTGGACTGATAGGAAAAGACACACACTCAGCCTTATGAAGGTTAAAAATCATAAGCTCTTAAGGATATGGGAAAGCGTGGCACATTTTCAGGCAAAAAGGAAGTTCTTTTTTCTTACCTGCTACTCTGGAAGTTAAAAGACAAAAAAATTGAATGTGCAGGAAACCGGTTTGGCTCAGTGGATAGAGCGTCGGCCTGCAGACTGAAAGGGTCCCAGGTTCGATTCCGGTCAAGGGCATGTACCTTGG